CAATCAAGCATAATAAGCACCAATTAGGCAGCTTTTTAAAATGACTGTGATACTCAGCTCCTTCTAGACATTTACTGGTGTGGTTACAAACATGGTGAAGGCAAGAGAATGGTCCAGGAAGACAAGAGAAGAGGTGATTTCTCTTCACAGGAAGGGCAATGGCTATAAGAAGATTGCAAAGATGTTAAACATACCAAGAGACACCTTAGGAAGCATCATTCGCAAATTCAAGGCAAAGGGCACTGTTGAAACGCTACCTGGTCGTGGCAGAAAGAAGATGCTGACTTCGACTGCTGTGCGCTACCTGAAGCGTAGAGTGAGAGAAGTCCCCGTGTGTGACTGCTGAGGAACTGAGAAAAGATTTGTCAGATGTGGGTACAGAAGTTTCAGCCCAGACAATAAGACGCACACTGCGTAATGAAGGCCTCCGTGCCAGAACTCCCAGGCGTACCCCCTTGCTGTCTCCAAAGAATAAGAAGAGTCGACTGCAGTATGCCAAAAGCCATGTGGACAAACCACAAAAGTTGTGGGATAGTGTTCTGTGGACTGATGAAACAAAATTAGAACTGTTTGGGCCCATGGATCAACGCTATGTTTGGAGGAGGAAGAACAAGGCCTATGATGAAAAGAACACCTTGCCTACTGTGAAGCATGGTGGAGGGTCCAATCTGCTTTGGGGCTGTTTTGCTTCTGCAGGTACAGGGAAGCTTCAGCGTGTGCAAGGTACCATGAATTCTCTTCAGTACCAGGAGATATTGGATGGAAACGTGATGCAGTCCGTCACACACACCTGAGAGGCTTGGGAGACGTTGGACCTTTCAACAGGACAATGATCCCAAGCATACCTCCAAGTCCACTAGAGCATGGTTGCAGAGGAAAGGCTGGAACATTTTGGAGTGGCCATCGCAGTCACCAGACTTAAATCCGATTGAGAACCTCTGGTGGGACTTAAAGAAAGCAGTTGCAGTGCGCAAGCCTAAGAATGTGTGACTGAACTGGAGGCCTTTGCCCATGAAGAATGGGCGAAGATACCGTAGATCGCTGCAAGACACTTGTGTCAAGCTATGCTTCACGTTTAAAAGCTGTTATAACTGTAAAAGGATGCTGTACTAAGTACTAAGATTGAATGTCACTTGGGGGTTGAATAAAACTGATAATGCTGTGAGCACAGAAAAGACATTTGTGGTTATTTCATTATAACTGTTATGTTATATTTGTCTGACCTACAAGTGCCTCTTTAATGTAAATGTAAGCAAGATGACTGAATGATCAAAAGCAATGTCAAACTGGCCAAAACACTCAATTTCAGTGGGGGTTGAATAATTTTGGCCACAACTGTATCAGGCGTGGGCATGCACAGATCTAAAAAAAAAAAAAAAAGTTTCAAAACTTTAATTTTACAAAAACAATGCAAATTGACACAAAATTATTGTTCTCCTAAACCTAAAAAACTCTAGTTTTGCCGAGAGGAAAAAGAAAAAAAACACTTTAAAACATTGCCAGGATATCAACACACTTTTCTTCAAAACAGAGAACGGTAGGGATGAGAAATAAAGTGGTTCTGCAACTATTAAAACATAGATGGACCATAACACTCTTATGGCAACTAATACATGCTTAGACATTGGTGGTCAGTAGATGTCAGTGTGGTGGCAGTTAATTTAAAATGCATAATATGGAAATATGTGCATTCACCCCTAACCATTTTGAATACAATTTTTGGTGGTTACAATGTTCCAAGATACCAATTACCAACAAAAAGGGAGCTCAATTGCAATGAGCAGTACAGCAAATAACTAGATGAAAAACTTGTATTGATCAAGTGGCCTACTGTAGGCATTTTAAAGCAGAACTAAACCCTCCTACCCCTTACAGCCAAGGAAAGGTTCATCTTCGCCTCCACTTGATCTGCAGTTGCCACAGTGCTGTACATGTGATCAGTTATTACACCAACCATTTGATGGCTTGACATTCCGGATGAAAGCATAAGCAACTGTGATTGTTATTCATGGCATGCCTTAAGAAACCGTTATATTGCTGAGTTGGATTCTACTTTTAAAAGGTATGATTTAAAGAGAGCACCTGCCAGCTGACTAAGTATCAGCTAAGAAGTCTATCTTGTTGCTTTGGGTTATAATACTTTGCACATTGACTGCGATATGTACTAGCTTACTGCTTAGCACATTGACTGCGATATGTACTAGCTTACTGCTTAGCACATTGACTGCGATATGTACTAGCTTACTGCTTAGCACATTGACTGCGATATGTACTAGCTTACTGCTTAGCACATTGACTGCGATATGTACTAGCTTACTGCTTAGCACATTGACTGCGATATGTACTAGCTTACTGCTTAGCACATTGACTGCGATATGTATAGCTTACTGCTTAGCACATTGACTGCAATATGTACTAGCTTACTGCTTTGCACATTGACTGCGATATGTACTAGCTTACTGCTTAGCACATTGACTGCGATATGTACTAGCTTACTGCTTAGCACATTGACTGCGATATGTACTAGCTTACTGCTTAGCACATTGACTGCGATATGTACTAGCTTACTGCTTTGCACATTGACTGCGATATGTACTAGCTTACTGCTTTGCACATTGACTGCGATATGTACTAGCTTACTGCTTTTCTTTATCTTCAAACAGCATGCAGAGGTAAGTGGAGGGATTGCATCACCATGCACCACTTCAATTTGTTCATTTAGGCAAGGTATACTTGCTTGACACGTTTAGCAATTATTTTGTGGATTAGGACTAGTTTGGGGTGGACACCCAGCTACACTATTAAAATAATCAGTCACAATATATTGAAAATTGGTTTTAATTTAAAAATACATAGTATGTAGAATCAACATGCAAACAGTAATGAAAAAAAAAAAAAAATAAAAAAAAAAAAAAAGGAGTGTTTTATATACCAGGCTTTACATCACGTAGCACAAATTGTCTCAAATTTTGTCTCAAATTTTGTTCAGCAGGGACTGGCTGAATTTCAGTCCATCAAAATCGGCTTGTGCACAACCAGCCCATTGGGTTTTTTCCTCTCAAACAATTAGTGCTCCTGGCTATAGCCAGCAACACTAATTTTGTTCTGCCAGCAGGGAAGGCTCCCCACTAGCAGAATACAATATCGCTGCAGGAGGGACTGACTGTGTTGATGGGGGAATCAAGCAATTTTATTTCTCTCTTTCCACCTGTGACGGAAGGAAAGAAAATGGCAAACTCTATGGCCTGGCCTAGCCAGCAGTTTGCTATATGACAACATTGACAATAGTGGATGAAGCTTGCATAATGTGTGTTAAAAATGTTGTTACTTATAACTACCCTTGTTTTAAACACTTCCTGTTCTATTTATGATCTGATTTTTTTTGGGGGGGGGGGGGGGGGATTGAGCTTACATACTGTATACCGATGTAGGCTTGTTCCAAATAGTATTTAAAGTGGTTGTAAAAGCAGAAGGGTTTTTTTTTTTTTCCCCCTAATGCATGTAGCTTCTCCCACCCCCAAATACATACCTGAGTCTGATCCAGCGATGTGCACAAGAGCCAAGGCTTTCATGGCTCTCTTGCTCCTCACTAGCTCGGATACAGCAGCAGGAGCCCTTGGCTCCTGCCAATCAGAGCCAGTAACGAAGAGTGGGGGGAGGGGCTGAAACCGTTTTGTGTGTCTTATGAACACGCATAGCAGGGCTCGAAAGAGAGCACACATGAGTACCCCCACAGCAAGTTGGATGCTCTGGAAGCACTTGGTGGGGTGGAGCCAACAGTGCTGCTGCCCCCCCCTCCCCCCCCAGAACAGATCGGGGCTGCTCTGTGCAAAAACCACTGCAAGTATAACATGTTTGTAAAGGGTCTTTTTTGTTTAACTGAAATAACAATCACTTTAGGTCAGGGGAATAGCATAGCAGAAGAGAGGATGACATGATGATGAGATAATGTTGACAAATAGAAAACAAACCCACACATTTACAGGTGCCATCCACTCGTGTGCTGCCATGGATTGACACCAAGAAAGAAATTGTATCAAATATCAGTTTTCCTGGAGCCAACATACATGCGGACTGGCACCAGGAAAGGAAAATCACAATAAGTATTTGATTCAAATTCCTAATTTAATTGTCCTGGTAACCACTGCCATGAAATACAGAGAAATCAGAACATTTCCCCTCCTCTTTATGATCCCCCTAAATGTCAAATGGGGGACACTTGTTCTAAACAACAGACTAAAGATTCCCTCACTGGAGAGATTTCCTCTCCCTTCCTGCTGTGTACAATGGCACACAGATTGCTAACACACACACACACACACACACACACACACGTTTTAAACATCCCTAACCACCCAAAACCGCAGGAAAAAAAAAAAAATTATGTTGGCTTTAGATAATACTGGCCATACCTGGATCAAACGTTGGCTGGTTCAGCATGTGCCAACAGAATTTCGATTCACGTATGGGCACCCTGGTTGTAAAGAAGCTCCCAATCATAAGAACCCAAGAGCACACCTTGAATGTGTGGATGGGGGAATCTACACTTTTTTTGGTTTTTTTTTTTTGGTTCAACCCGCTGGGTCGAATTATAAAAAAAAAAAAATAAAATTATATATATATTCCATTAATTTTTTTTTTTTTCACCTGTGGACATGGAAAATAAACATACATATACACACACACACACTAATATATATATATACACACACACATACCACACACACACACACACACACATACACTATTTTCCATGTCCACAGGTGTAAAAAAAAAAAAAAAAAAAAAAAATCACCTAGGCATGGAGGCTGCTTCTACAAATATTTGTGAAAGAATGGGTCGCTCTCAGGAGCTCAGTGAAGTCAAGCGTGGTACTGTGATAGGTTGCATTTCCTTGCTACTAAATATTCAACAGTCAACGGTTAGTGGTATTATAACGAAGTAGAAGCAAAGCAACTGGAAACAACAGCAACTCAGCCATGAAGTGGAAGGCCACGTACAATGATGTGGGGTTGTTTTTCAGGGGTTGGGCTTGACCCGTTACTAAGACAATTTGGACAATTTCATGCTGTCAACTTTGTGGGAACAGTTTGGGGATGGCCCCTTCCTGTTCCAACATGACTGCACACCAGTGCACAAAGCAAGGTCCAAAAAGACATGGATGAGCAAGTTTGGGGTGGAGGAACTTGACTGGCCTGCATAGAGTCCTGATCTCAACCCGATAGAACACCTTTGGAATGAGTTAAGAGTGGAGACTGCGAGCTAGGCTTTCTAGTCCTGACCTCACAAAATGTGCTTCTGAAAGAACGGTCAAAACACTCCCAAACCTTGTGGACAGCCTTCCCAGAAGAGTTGAAGCTGTTATAGCTGCAAAGGGTGGGCCAACTCAATATTGAACCCTACGGACTAAAATTGGGATGCTATTAAAGTTCATGTGCATGTAATGGCAGGCGTCCAATAATTTTGACAATATTATTATGTATGTATGTATGTATGTATGTATGTATGTATGCCCACATACATGCACACACAATATTGTCAAAATTATTGGGATGCCTGGCTTTACACTCACATGAACTTTATTGGCATCCCAGTCTTAGTCCGTAGGGTTCAATATTGAATTGGCCCACCCTTTGCAGCTACAACAGCTTCAACTCTTCTGGGAAGGCTGTCCACAAGGTTTAGGAGTGTATCTATGGGAATGTTTGACCATTCTTCCAGAAGAGCATTTGTGAGGTCAGGCACTGATGTCGGACGAGAAGGCCTTTCTTGCAGTCTCCACTCTAATTCATCCCAAAGGTGTTCTATTGGGATGAGATCAGGACTCTATGCAGGCCAGTCAAGTTCCTCCACCCCAAACTTGCAGGTCAGTCAAGTACACACACACACGGCCCGCCTAACACCCATTCAACAAATTTTTGCACTCAGTGTCTCAGGTACAGAAAACTACACATGGCAATAATAAATAACTTTAATAAATCTCATCAAACATTTGAAAGTGTGATATCACATTAGTTTCATGCTTGCATTTAAAAGTAACGGCTAAACTCTAAGCAGTTTCCATCAATATTCATTATGTTTTTGAATAATTAAAAGGTGCCTGTGAATTAAATAGGCAGTTAGTGGATCCTATAAGTGAATAGCACAATACACACATAAACCAGGAGCCAAGAGAAGCCTATAAAATGTGTCAGCTGAAATATAAAAAAGGGTTAGGGCTTTAAATATACCAGTGCAGGATGAAGAACAGAAAGTATAGTTTTAAGACCAGATGAAGTAAAAACACTCATGTATACTGCAACACCTCTTAGATATGCAGTCTTAAAGTGGTACAGTTCCTGGACAAGGTACAATGGAGAACATGCTGCAACAAAAGAACACCGTATATAAAAACTGCAAAAATCTTTGGAGAGCATCCATATACCAGAACGCATGACTGTTGGAACCAGCACATATCAAGTATGTAATTGAACGCCAGCAATGCAGCCAGTATACATCATTTGCTGGAATTCATGCGGTTGCGTTTCAGTTCCCATTACCAGCGCACACCTTTCTAATGGTGACTGCTGTTGTGTATGTACTCTTCCTTTAGCCCAAGGCCTCATTTACACCTGGACATTGTTGAGTTTTGAAGCTTTGAGCTTCAAGCTACGCAAACTAAATCTGGTGTAATAAAATGGTGGCTGTTTACATACACACTCAGGTGCCTGTAGCTCCATGTTCAATGCTCCAAAAGCTACATGAGCTACTTTTGAGGCAGATTTGAGGTTTCTGGCTCCATAGACTTCAATGGGAATGCATGAAAACACTTGAATTTAGCATTTTTAAGGAATTTTTTGTAGCCTATAAGAACTGGTCTCCTGCAAAGTGATTTCGATTGGCTAAAACAAGAAGCTTGAATCAATATGTGAAACACCTGAAATATGCTTCCAAAATGCTCATATAGACGTTCAAAACCACTTGAAAATTGCTCTGCTTAGGTATGAATGCAGCTTTATAGTGTGATCCATGATCCATACATCCTTGCACCAAACAATGAAGTATCATTTGTACTTCATTATAAATATACTGAGACATGGGTCCATGGGTTAGTCAGTTCAAACTTCAAAGTAATGTCTTGACTGACACACTGTTAGAGCAGTCTTAACAAAGTCATTGATCCTGGCTTCACCCATGGATGATGCATGCCATGCAATGAAGACAAATGATGGACAGGGGTAAGACAGTGTAACATAATAAAATCTGCATGTGTGATGGGGATGCTGCTTTATGGTGTGCATCATTTAGATGTAGTAAGGCACTGCAAACAAATATAAATTTTAGTGCAAATAAAAGATATATACAAAAAAGGGAATCACTGTTGTATAAAAATAGAAAACAAAAATAATTACTGTTCAAGTACCGTTAAAATTTTAGCACAGTAAACACTATAAAACTAAATAGGCCTCATACAGGAAGGTCACATTAGGAAAGTCCTCATATTCCTGACAGACCTCATTTGTTCAGGACAGTCTGACGTATGGAGGTGGCTGTGATAATGCCTCTTCTGTTTCTGCACTGGTTTCCGTGAACTGTGCTGGAGAATTAAATATCCGCTCATTTGCTCCTGAAAAAGAAAATACGATAGATAAAAAAAAGAAAAAAAAGTGCATATTTTCAATATGTTCTGTATATAACTACTTCAGTACTAGCCCAACCCCTTTCATTACCAGGACATTTTCAGTTTTTAGTGGTGTGATAGTTTACATGACTAATGCAAACTATACCCAAATGAATTTGATATAAGATAGAGCTTTATTCTGGTAATAATTCATAACTGGAACAGGTGCATCTGAGCCATTACCCCCTGTGTAATTCCTCGTCAGCCTCAGGAACACAGCCTAGGAAGTATCTGCAAACCTCCATACTCTGTCACTGCAAAAAGGGAAAGGCTGGTGCCATGAAAATTGGCTAAAACAATATTCTGGATTCATACAGGTGAAAAAAAAAAAAAGCCAGCCGGTTTCAGTCATCAGGCCTTAAACATAGTTTTTTTTTCTGTAGAAGGGGAAAAAAAACCCCCAAAAAAACCAAAGTAGACATTTTGAAAAACAAAACAAGACAAAAGCAACAAAAACCACATTTATCCTACTTTCTGTTATAAGGCATGACAAATAAAAAAGTATGGGACAGTACAAACACCCCCTAAAAATGACTCCATTTTGGAAAGTAGAATCCCCAAGGTGATCTCATTTTTATGGCAATTTTTGTAAAATGAAGAAAAATGCTGGTATTACTGCTCACCTCAGAAAGAGGTGATATTCCCCCTCCTCTCCTATAAAGCTGAAGTGTTACTAAACCCAGGACCCTGCATTCACTATATCTGGTCTCCCACAATACACAGAACATGGAAATGCAATTTATTTTAGTAAATATAAACTGCTAAATATCTTTTCTCATCAGCAGTTAAATCAGTCTTGTGACTTCTATCAGTGTTCAGCACAGAACTGGTTCAAGCTTGTAGGAAGTTTTATCTAGGAGAGATGCAGAACCTCTGACCTCTGTCTGGACAGTGCTGAATGGCCTTGTGCCGATCACATGCACTCTCCGCAAATAAAAAAAAAAAAAAAAAAAAAAAAAAAAAAAAAAAAAAACACCTCTAGCAACACACCAAACTGAGCATGTGCAGAGCGTCTTAACAGATATGTCTTATCAGATGATAAAAAAGGGAGACTTTGGAAGAAAGGGAGGATCAGAGAAGACAGGATCAAACACAATGCAGAGGATTACCCCTTAGTTTCCACAGTGAGTATAACAAGCATGCTTTACTGCATATAGACTGATTTTACTGTTGTGGGTTTAGTAACACTTTAAAACAAAACAAAAAAATCCATTCATTAGTTCCTCCTCTTTCCCCTTCTTCTGTTGTAAGAGGAAGGAGAAGGCTTGCAGATGGTCACCACAGGGATCACATGGAACAGAGCGGTTTAGATCAGTTCTGCACACAGTCAACTGAGGACAACTCAATCCACAGACATTAATGGGTACACTTGCCACCCAAGAGTCATTTCTGTAGTGACGTTTAAAAATGGTACTCTAGTGATAGACCATACAGCAGTAGGGAGGTGGATAAATGCAGTGGACATATTCACCATAAATTTTAGATTTTCAGACACCCCTGCATGTATGCTTGAATTACAGAGAAGTAAAATCCAAGATGGACTGGGCTAGGAAATGGCCTGAATACAGTGCACATTGCAACTAAACTGTATTCCCTATATTGGAAATAAAATGTTTGCGATATGCCAGTTATGTCTAGATGTCAGCACTTCAGTTAATTTAAAATTAAATTTCAGGCGAAACACACAAATGAGATCCAAATAATGGAGCCCTTTCACATGCAAAAGAATTTGTTTTGGCAGGTAAAATGGTTTCATTATATGCATCTAAACTGAGCAGTTGGGCTTATTTTTCTCTACTAGGGTAAAGCTACACTGACAGGTCTTGCCCCTCACCCATCCTGGACAGGGACAGTAGAAACACACTGCACGCTGAACAGCTAGTCTATCACTTGGTCCTCTTCTCCTATTGGCTTGATCATAGTTAGCATATGAGAACTGCAGCCAAACCAACTGGCTCATTGTGCTCTCCCTCTTCCAGTCTGAGCCATGCTGTACATAGACTGAAAAAGGCAGATATCAAATGAAATTCAGGTACTAATCCTGCTTGTATTTTACAAAAATATATTTAGTGACATATTCATTAATACTGAATAATGTGTGTATTTTATATCTGTCTGGAGTTCAGCTTTAAGTTATCCTATAACTTAAATACACAAATCATCACTTGCTGGTTTGGTTGAGAGCCTGGTATTACCAGGCATACTACTAGCCCATCATTGTTAAATTTGGACTACAGGAGGGAAGGGGCCGAAGCAGATTTAATCCAGCAAGCAACATATCAAATAGCGGTTTACCAACATTATAGGAATTGGCAATATGTAAACCCAACATTTCATATCCCTGATATGTGCCTGCTGTACCATGTGCATGTATAAAAAAAAAA